ATATTTCTTTTGAATATTACATGTTAGAAATGGCTTAGAAAATGTTTTATGATTAATAGTTATTTTCACTCATAGTGCTTTATCTTTTTCAGGAAAAAGCAGTTGATCCTAAGACACGTTTACTTATGTATAAAATGGTCAACTCTGGAATGTTGGAGACAATCACAGGCTGTATTAGCACAGGAAAGGAGTCTGTTGTCTTTCATGCTTATGGAGGGAGGTAAATGAACACAATACAATACCATTCTTTCTCCCCAAAGAAATGTTGCATGTAAGCAGAGTAATTTTAAGCGTTAACCGTAGAAAGTCTAGACAATATAAAGATGTAAAAAGAAAAATATAATCCTAAAACCACTAGTTAGAGAGAAACATTAATTATTTTAGGTAAATTTGTCTTGTCTTTTTTTTCAATGCACATATGATTTTTTACACCGTTGCAGTCACACTAGATCATATAGGCTTGTATAAGTGGTGGTGCAAAATTTGAACCTGGGTTTGACCCGAAACCCATGGTCTTTTCATATGGAGCCCTTTGGTACTAAGTTGGGGAGGACATGCTTACATTCATTCTGATTTCTTTCTTTAAGGAATCATTTTAACTCTGATCCTTACTTTAAGAAATACTAGCTTTAAATAATGCTTATATTATGTAAGAAAGCTTCATTTAAAGATTTTATGTCATTTTAGATCTTATTTTTGTCACAAGGGCTTAGGTTAGTAATGAATACCATGGGGAAGAGAGACATTTTATAAAGCAAAGCCTGTTAGTGAATGTCCTTAAGCTCAGGAAATGAAGTCTTTTGGTTACTTACCACTGAACCCCACCTGTAATGTACTGCCTCAGCTATTCCTTTACCTTAATATTGTTTACAATATGTTAAAACAGATTACAGGTATTGTTGGGTCGGCACCTGTGGCTCAAGTGGCTAAGGCGCCAGATATATACACCTGAAGTGGCGGATTCAAATCCAGCCGGGCCCACCAAACAACAAACAACAATGACGGCTGCAACCAAAAACTAGCCAGGCATTGTGGTGGGTGCCTGTAGTCCCAGCTACTTGGGAGGCAGAGGCAAGAGAATCACTTGAACCCAGGAGTTAGAGGTTGCTGTGAGCTGTGATACCATGGTACTCTACCCAGGGTGACAGCTTGAGGCACTGTCTCAAAAAAAAAAAAAGATATTGTAGTAATTTTTTAAGATTTAAAAGGCATTTATTGTGTTTTAAAAGAGTATTCAGATGATCATTGGGTAAGTGTAAGGACTTGGTTTCTTGATTAACTAGTCTCTCTTTCTAGATAAGCATATACACTTGTATAATAATACATCAGATTATATTTTAAGTTCCAAAATAAAAAGGGTCAAAATGAGTGTTAGTATAAAATAACTTATGAGCTTATGTTTTCCTTTTTTGTTGTTGTTGCAGTTTTTGGCCCGGGGCCAGGTTTGAACCCTGCCACCTCTGGTAGATGGGGTCAACACCATACTCCTTGAGCCACAGGCGGCGCCCATGAACTTATGTTTTTCAAATGATGTGATCTGAAGCATATTACTAAACTTCATTAATTTTATTTATTTTTATTTTTTAATTTTTTTTTTTTAAGCAGAATCTCACCCTGTCCCCCTGGGTAGAGTGCCATGGCATCATAGCTCATAGCAACCTCTAACTCCTGGGCTCTAACTCTTAGGCTTGAGCAATCCTCTTGCCTCAGGCTCCCCAGTAGCTGGGACTGCAGGTGCTTGCCACAATGTCTGGCTAATTTTTCAATTTTTTAGCTTTTACTCCCAGCTGAGGGTTCTCTGAAACTAAACAAATACTATTTTAAAATAGTTCAGATTATTTTAAAATAAAAGCTTACTCATGATGATAAATTAAAACTTTATAGAAAGGGTTAAAATGGACAATAGCTTTCATGTTACCTGCTGTCACCTCATGGGTCTTTAGAGGTAACCTCTATAAATAGTTTTTAATCTTTTAGAAATTTTTTTACACACATGTCCTTCATTTTGTTCATATAAAAGAGATTATACTCTACATTTAGGATCTTAGTTTTGTTCAGTTTTTTGGTTAATATGTTATTCTATGTTACTAGTTTATGCCACCTTAGTTTTTAAAATAGTACATTCCATTGTATAGAATGTTGTAGTACATATATCTTAATGTGCTTTTGCAAAATATCTTTAAGCTATTATAAATTCCTAACAGAAATTGCTGGGGCAAAGATTAATAATGCATTTCCCCCCCCCTTTTTGTTAAGTAGTAGAAGGCCACATTGAATGGGGAGTGCCTGATTTTGCTCACTGGGTTCTGAGCTGGCTTTTGTAGCAAGGATGTTTCTTGATTTCTTTGATTTTTGAAAAATTTATTACAAATTTAGAAAACTTTTTCTTGTAAATCATGCCAAAGACTAGAATCTTGGATGTGTGTTTATCTTTTAATGGTAGAGCAAATGTAATTTTCTTTACGAGCTAGTCAAATTTGCAGCATATGTGTATTCTGCATGCCAGTAGTAATTGCCAAATTGCCCTGTGAGATAATTCACCAATTTAGACTGCTACCAGCAGTGAACCTCTTTCCCTGATCTTCACCAATGCTTAATGTTATCAAACTTAATGGTTTTTTTTTTCACAGTACATGAAAAGTAGTATCTTAGTATTTTGGTGTGCATTTATTTAATTATGATTAAGGTTGTACATTTTTTCCAAGTGCTTTATTAGCCATTTGTATTTCTTTTTCTTGTCAACTGTCTTGCTTATCCTTTTTCCATTTTGTGTTATGCTTAGTGATACTCCAATATAATGAATGATCTCTCTTTCTTTCTGGTGGAATTGGTATCATACTGTGGCATTTCTGAGTTAGCAAAATTAGGGAGCATTTAGTTTTCTACAACTGAGAGTAAATTCTTTTAAAAGTTTATTGGTTTTCTGTGCTGCATAACCAATTGCCACAAACATAGTAGCTTAAAACAACACTCATTTATTATCTGATAGTTTCATTTGACCAGAAGTCTGGGCATGGCTTAGCTGAGTTCTCTGCTTAGAGCCTCACATATGGCAGCCACCTAGATGTTGGCCAGGCTGTGTGCTCCTTTTTGGAGCTTGGCCCCCTTTTCCGTTGGTACCTTTTAGTTCCTTGGGGCTATAGGATTGAGATCCCACCACTTGTGGGCTGTCAATTGGGAGCTGGTTTCAACTCCTTAAGGCTCCTGAGTTCCTTGCCATGGGGGCCTATTACAGACCCTTTCACATGGTAGCTCATTCCTTCAAAGCCAGCAGAAGAATTCTCACTCCAGTCTGCTAAGAATAAGTCTTAGATAGTGAAATATAATCATGGGAATGACTAGACTAAGATTGTTCAACCTTTCCTTTTTTTTTTCCTCTGCTACACATTGGAAGAAGCGTTTCTTTGGGTGACACACTAAATACACAAATACTAATAAAAGCTGCATACTTTTTTTACATGCATACTTTTCTTGATATCTAATATCCTACACCACATTAAAAAAAAATGTCCTCACAAAATCTGCATGGGCCACAGATTGGACACCCATGGACTAGACCATCACCTTTACCATATAACATAACTCAGTGCAGCTGGCAGCTATCCCACCCACACTTAAATGGGGAGTCTCCAGGGTATGCCTATAAGTGGGCATCTTGGGCGCCATCTTAGAATTCTGCCTCCCACAAAGCTCTTCTGATTTCTATCACTCTTAGGTTGGCCAAGCAATCAGTAGTTACTCAAATAGTAACTTGTACTAGATTGTACTAGATTTTTTTAGGGCATAAAATATAAGACACATTTTCTACTCTGAGAAGAGTTTATGTTATAGCCAAGATGAGAAAATTACAGTAAGGATCATTATGGTCCGTAAAAGATAATTACATAATAGTTATATGCACATGAGACCTTATGTGGGATAGGAATAGAGAACAGAACAAGATCATTGCCTGTCAACGTTCAGAGAAAGCATCATGATGAAGTTAGAGCTCAACCTGGTTTTTAAAAATAGGTTTAAAAAAATCTAGTGTTGAGTACAAAAGTCTGGTCATAGAATATATACAGTATATCATCTATTTAAATTTTTAAAGTCATACAGAAAATAATATATAATGGATATTTATAGATGCTTATGCATGCATATACTTAATGTATCTTTTAAAAAGTGCTAGTAATACAGTATTCATGACAGTGATTGCCTCTGGTGAGCAGGGATGGGGAATGTTGCCTCTGGTGAGCAGGGATGGGGAATGAAACTACCTGAGTGATAATCAAAGGGAACTTAATCTTCATCTGTTAATATTTAATTAATGTTTAATTCTTTAAGACAAAGGCTAAGAATGGGAAGGTTGAAATTTAGGCACTGAGTAGATTGGAAGGTATACGTTTAACAATAATAGGAAGAAAACCTGTATTAGCAAACTTGAAATTAGTAAGGAGGACCTTAAAAGCAGGGCAGAAGGTTGTGTCATTTGCTAAGAAACAGGATGTTTTTCAGTTGGAGAACGACAAGTTGCATCTTATAATTTGGACTCTATGCTAGAGACCTTCCAAGTAAAGAATCTCTTTTAAGGGTATTTTTGATAGGGCCTCGCCTACAGTGTGGTTATACTATTCCTGTAATAGGGAGTTCATCATCTCAAAATCTAGCCTCTTCAGTCATAATGTCTTTAAATTATTGGAAATTTCTTCTCTGTATACAGTCTCTAATCTTTCTCCCTAAAAACTTAATTGTCCATTCACCACTATCTGAGTAGCTACTATGTGCCAGGTACTGTATTTTGGTGTGTATAATGTACACTTTTTGACCTAAATTTTTGAGAGGAAAAATAAGGATATGCATTATGCAAATTGGTAGTACTAATTCTGTATTTATATAAATCTCTTTTTAATTCTTTTCTTTACGCTTATGTGTTAAAAATAGAACTCTTCATTCAGAAATAAATGCTAAGATTTCTTTATAATGCAAAAAACAAGTACTTATATATAAACAAAAATTTGGATTAAAAAATTAAAACAAGGCTCGGCACCTATAGCTCAACCGGCTAAGGCGCCAGCCACGTACACCTAAGGTGGCGGGTTCGAATCCCCAGCTCGGACCCGCCAAACAACAATGACGGCTGCAACCAAAAAATAGCCGGGCGTTGTGGTGGGCGCCTGTGGTCCCAGCTACTTGGGAGGCGGAGGCAGGAGACTCGCTTGAGCCCAGGTGTTGGAGGTTGCTGTGAGCTGTGATGCCACGACACTCTACCCAGGGGGACAGCTTGAGGCTCTGTCTCAAAAAAAAAAAAAAAAAAAGAAAATTAAAACAAAAAAAATGTTTTTTTCCTAAAAGTTTGGGCCAAAAACATTGGGGTGCATTATACATAGGAGCACATTATACTACGTACACAGCAGAATACAATACTCTTAGGTAATGGGGATACAGTAATGAATGGTGCAAGGAAGGTCCCTGCTGTAATACAGTGTGCTTCCCCCCACCCTTAAATTTCCTCCACTACAATAATCAGGTATGTGCTTGCATGTAGTTTAAATAGGGTGATGTCATAGTGACTAGTAGGACGGGAGGCTTATCTGGTGAAGTGGCATTTGAATGACACATCTAGGATATATCAGAGATCAGGAGAAGGGTGTTCTGGACTAGAGAACAGCTAATGCTGATGCCTTTGGACATGTTCAAGTTGTATCTTTGAGGGAGTGACCTAGAGCAGAGTACGTGAAGCGGGGAGAGGAAGCTGGAGAAATAAGCTTGGTTAGGTCAGGTAGGACTTCATAAGCCTGCGGAGTCTGCTCTTTATTTAATTGTAGTGGGAACCAAAGCTGTGAGTTGGTTTTTATTTTCAAAAGATTACTCAGATTGCTTTGTGGAAAATGAATTATAGGAAGATAAGAGAAGAAGCAATAAGATCAGTTAAAAAGTTACCTTGGCTTAAATGAGAGATGGTGGGGCTTGGACTCAGGAGGTGGTAGTGGAAGTGGAGAGTCGAAGAGCGCTTGGTTGTGCTTTGAAGGTAGAATGAATACTGCACACTGTTGGATTCCAGGCTAGAGCAGCTGGTGGTGGTCCTGTTTACTGAGCCGAGAGCCTGAGGAAGGGGAGGGCTAGGGCACATTTATCAAGAGTTTTGTTTGGGGCTTAATTAAATTTGAGATACCTGTTAGACATCCAGATGATGTCAAGCAGGAATTGGATAAATGGGCCTGAAGTTCTAGGGAAAGTCAGGACTGGGATAGAAATGTGGGAGTTATCTATATACAGATAGTATTTAGAACTGTTGGTAAATGAAGCTGCCCAGGAAGTGACCAGGGTGGAGGATCCCAACCTTTTGAGACTAAATGAAGGAGTGGCTAGCTGGGAGAATATGGTTGGTAGTTTGATTCAGATTCTGTCCTCTGGAAATGTAGTTCCTGGCTCGGCGCCTGTGGTTCAGGCAGCTCAG